GGGGTGGATTTGGTGGATTTGGTGGATTTGGGGTGGATTTGGTGGATTTGGTGGATTTGGGGGTGGATTTGGGTGAATCGTGTAACCCGTTTATAATATGATGTGGCGGAAGTAGATGTAAAAAAGAAGTAATAAATGAGTAGTCAGTATATTTAGTTATATGTGTTTATAATATGTATTGTTAAATTATCCATTGCCTTTGTGTTTTGTTTTGTACATCTATTTGCATAGTTATTTTCTTTCATCATTTAGGACAATTTTAGAAATGGTTAAAAGGAGAGAGAAGACGAAGCGAGAGCATTTGCATCTAACATTAGAAATTGTAGAGCAACGGTAAGTTTATTTAGTTTTCTATTTAATTGATTTAAAGGTTTTAAAGTAATTATTACGTGAGTTGTCCAGTGTTTTCACCACTTTCATGATACCTACTATTATTGCTTGAGTAACAGCAATTGTCTAGAGTAACAATCAAATGTCTTGGAACTTTCGTATTCATCAAAACATGCAATTTTCGAACTCGTTTGGTAAACAATCGTTTGATGTAATCTTGAAACTACAGCCGGTAGTATTGGACTAGCTAGTAGCGCCGCCGCCTATCTGCCATAGACATAGTACAGTCTCTCTCAAATGCAGTTGTTTTCAATTAATCACCGACAATTTATAAGTTTACCAATTCTGCCATTATCGCGACACGATAAAATGCATTGCTGTTACGATGTGTTTATACCCAATTTTCTATGCTATAACTGCTTAAAATCTTGGTGTTTTTATTGCTGGTGTAATCAGTGATATATCCGCTGTGACTATATTTTGCTATATTTTTTGGGGGTTGAGCTTTGAGTAAAACCCATAATAATAACTTTAAAGTAAATATAGTGGTTAATATTTGTTTATTTATATGTCAAAATTTTGTAATTCTTTACAATAGGTTAATTCTTTCACATGGTTATCAAAAGTATATGTTTACATTAAGAATTTAGCGCAGAACATCTTGTATTGCGCAAAACTGACGTGCATTGGAGTTCAATTGTGGAATTTACGTTGAGACACTAAACTGGCACAAATTTATTACTTTTTCTTTTCATCGTTCATTTTTCTGTTGTTTTACAAATGAAATTGCTTGTGGTCGTATAGGTATCAGATGGGAGACTTTTCGGGCACTGTACTTGCGGAGGTGAACGCTCTAAAGGACACACGTCCCAGCTTCCTACCATTTGTCAACCGGCATGATTGGAGAATCAGGGTATGGAACGTCAGGGTGCGAAATTAACGGGAGTCCGGAGTCAAATACTCCCTGATTTACTGTCGGACTCCCAGATTTGACATGTGCAGGAGTCTGTGTGACTCCCTGAAAATTCTGCCATACTAACTAGTTCGTTCCAGAGCACGGCCTCGCGGAATTACCGTATTTTTTCAGCTAATGTCCAAAGAAAATTTGGCAGACGTGCAACCGCATGAATCTTCAAAATAAGCACATGCGTTATCTTTAATTTTGAACCTCAGACTGCGGACTCCCTCTTTTTGAGGGTAGGTCCGTTGGACTCCCGTGTTCAAAAGTTAATTTCTACCCCTGGAACGTGGTTGTGGATAACAATGTCTTAATAGAGAATGACCGTTGATAATAGAAAAAACAACAATTTCGTCCATGTCAATAAGTTTCTTATATATGTATTCAACCTTATATGTTATAATTAGATTGTGGGCAGTACAGGCATTTAGGTGTACACTCGGATTCCGTCATGTGGGTTGCAGCATTCTTAGAATATACATTTCCCACAGAGTATCAGTCTGTTGGCTACGTCCAGTGATTGCCTTGAATACATCTAACTAATCTTGCTAGCCTGTGCTAACAGTGCAATATGTTTATAGTGTTTATTCTCTTGCATTTTCCCGTACGTGCCAACATTAAATCCTGCTGCAATAATGTTCCAAGAATGTTGGGAACTGATTACCATATGTTTATATATTAGCCATTCGCAGGTGTTTTCTCTGTCGATATGAAGTCGTGTGTGTGTGTGTGCTGCAGAAACAATGCGATTCATGTCCAATATGTTTACGATCCCACTCGAATGCATTTCCCCACAAGTATTAAGCGATGGCTGCATTGTCGCTGCAGGAATACGGCGTGTCACGGAAGAAGCGCGAGTACAGGAAGCGCAAGAGCAAGCAGCAGCAGGTGCAGGCTAGGGTAGAGCCGGAGGTGCCGTCCATGCTACCGTACGACGAGGTCAGGGCGCTCTTCCCCGACATAGCCTCCTCTGATGACGAGATGTCACCGGTGCGTATCCGACACTCAGGATTCATAGAGCAGTCGCGAGCGGGGGTCGCGTGAATATTTGCGTGGTGCCTAGACACTCAGGATTCGTAGAGCAGTCGCGGAGCGGGGTCGCGTGAATATTTGCGTGGTGCCCATAGAACACTCAGGAAATTGCGAGAGGCAGGTCAAGTTCGCGTGGTGTCGTGTGCCAAGCGTACATTGTCGCCCTGACAGGGTTCGTAGCGGGTCTTCCAAAGTCTTATAAGTACTTATTTTGCAAAAAAAAATAACGAGCTCTATTTAGTATTTTATTTTTTTTTTTTTTTTTTTTTTTTTTATTTTTTTATTTTTGGTGAAATCATTAGAAAGAGTAAGCTTGAATAGTCCTTATTTTTTTAATTGTTTTATAATAACTGTTCTCGACTTGAGAGTAAGAATTGTTGTATATATATTATAATACGGAATAATTAAATAATTGCTGTGCAATTGTGTATATAAATATTATTAGTGTACTTTAATAGTCGGTGATCTATCAGAAATCGCGTAAAAAAGTTTTATTTTGGCCTCCAGAAAGGGTCATATAAGTCCTTATTTCAACATGTGTCTTACTACTATGAACCCTGCCTGAGTCGTTTGCCACTTCTGCTGTTCATGCTGCATTGTGTCGTATATATTATGGCCAATTTTTTATGACGTTGATTTACTGTTGATGTCGGAGTCGCGTGAATCGACGTTGTCGTGTTAATGCGAAGCTTGCTGGTAGCTGCTTGGAGGCAGAAAATTTGGTGAGTGTGCGAGTCACAGCATGTGACATGCATCTCTGTAATCCTGCACGTGGTTTCTTTTCAGGTGCACTCGCAGTCGGATCTGGATGAGGATGCACCTGACGGCCAGTTCATGTTTCGGCGAAAGAAGGGTTGCAGTTACCACGCTGTAAGTGCGCCTTTACTAATTCAGTTTTTAAAGGTGGGCTTATGTCGGGCTTGCGAGCCGACTCGACTGGAAGCAACTGGCTGCAATTCACTGCGACTGCAGTGCTTAGGTCGGTCGACTGCGACGCGACTGCCTGCGACTGGCCGCCACTAGTTGCTCGGAATAGAACAGTGGGCAACTGGACGCAACTAGTCGCTGCTGATCGCTTCCAATTGCTCGAAATCCAGTTGCTTCCAGTCGAGTCGGCTCGCAAGCCCGACATAAGCCCCCTCTTAATATGTAGCGCATGCAATATTGGACAAATGTCGATAAATGCAAAATGCGGCTGAAACAAATATTTGTTTTTCCAATTTTATTATGTCTGCTGTTTATAGTTTATTTACTCTTAATACTATTATATGTATTTTTAATTTGCATGTAAAAAAGTCAAAGGTGATACTTAGAGCTTCTGTACTTGTTAAAATGTTTCAGTTATATGTAGTGGTTGAGTGGTTGGTAATATTTATAAATTGTATGTAATTGAGAAATCTGGTTGTGTTTAATTTAATACACTAAAAAATTGAGACATTGTAATATAGAATCCTATTTCCGTTTTAGCCTCTCATTGAGAAGCCAGGCAATTGGCCGTGGTTTAGTCAAGAGGATGGTGGGCTCGGTGACAAGCGGTATAGGTACACCTGTGCGTCACTCCGCTACCCATCACGTTGCATAGGCATGAGTCGCAGGAGGGTAGGCAGAGGGGGAAGGTAAGTTTAGTTAATGATTGATAGTATAAAATTACATTAAATATTAATTATTAAATAGTATAAAGTTAAAAGCGTTACAGATGGGGAGAATCGTAGGCAACCGACTGCGTAGAGTGCAGTGAGAACTGCTATCTCATTTTAATGTGGAAATATCATGTAGAACAAAATTGTAGGTATCACATTGTTAAGCTGGCGTAAATGTTGCAGAATATGGCTGGATAGGGGATACTCTCCAATGGACGATCACCTATCGGCTCTCCCCACCATGATTGCGGAAGAGAATGCAGAGCTGAGTAAAAATAGATTGTCAACCAACCACAGACTAGGAGATTATCATCGAAGTAGTAATTCATGGTGAGTGCGTGTGCCGTCGTTTCTATGGCAAGTTTTTGTTGAACATTGCTATGACAGATCACAAGATGAGTGAGCACGTACTCCATACAAGCCGTTATACCAGAATCTTGATCAGCCAGTAGTATGGTGACTGCAGTAGGCAATGTGATATGGTGTGTGTGTGTGTGTGTGTGTGCGTGTGCGCATGCGTGCATCTGTGTGCTGTGGTAAAAAATCTGTTGGGTTTTATTTTTAAAGGTAATTGTAACCATTTTGTTTGGGATATAAACCAAGTGGGGACCCAACAACTGCATATTTATATATGTAATTTAGTAGTGTAAGACGGGAACTGCATTGTTACGGATGTGGTTTTGCTCGTTTGCTTTCAGGATGCATTTTCGACCCAAAACACCTTCGCCAACAGACAAGCCTTCTTCGCTGGGTGTGACCTCATCATTGAGAAATAGCCCGGTTACCCTGACAACCGTGTCAACTCCCGAGTTTATGCTAGAGAGCTTTCAAACACATCAGGCAGAACTGCTAGAGATGCAACGCAAGCAGCTAGAACAAACACAAGATGTAAGCCTCACGCAAAACTGATGATCTTCTCCTAACTCACAGCATCCGGCAATTATGAACTATCCATTCATAACTTCTAAACTTATGCTCGGGCGAAAGTTTTAGATTTACTGTAAGGTGGGAATGCACCTACTTGTTCATTACCGGTTTTTGTTTTACGATGAGAGTTCTGTTAGGTTTATGTTATTGTTAGGTTGTGTCGAGTAAAGCTATTTTGTTTTGACTCTGTAAGTTTGACTCATTCAATTTAAAGGGGCAATATGTAGCTTATCGTAGTCGGTTTATTAGCTCAGCTGACGAAGTCAGATGCAGCTTGTAGAATCGCATGAATGTCCGTCCGTCCGTGTGTCAACAGTTACGGCACAAATCTTAACCGCTCGACGTACGATCTTGATATTCGGGACATCGGGGGGGGATCACGAAAAGGACTCGGGATGTTGAATTTGGGGGTCAAGGCCTAAAGGGTCAAAGGTCGAGATGTGTCAATGGAGGGGAATATTTCACTCTTAACTTAAAGTATAGGGGGAAATATGGAAATGCGGTACAAATCTCAACGGCTCGACTTACGCTGGTCGGGGGAGGAAACTCGTCACCAGTGCGAAATTGGAGGTCACAGGTCAAAGGGCAGTGGGGGAAAGGTCAGATATCAGACATTTTCTGAGGACATGGTCTAACGGACCGAGTGAAAAACTTTTTTGTTTCAGCGCTGACCTACCATTTTTATCACTTTATTGAAAGGACCATGAAATCTACTTTCTGCTGACGTGCGAAGAGTAAGTGTCTGATAAACTTTTGACCCTCAAGAGGAGGGTTAAACATGGATTTGTTGACTGTTAACAAAGGACTGAACTGCTTTTGCTATTAGAGCCTTGTTTACCCGCCCCTCCCTCCACTCGCCCACACCCTCCCCCCACCACCACTACGCCC